TACCTGGTATTGGCATATCATATGCAATAGCTCTAACAGTATTTCCTCCTTCCCATTTCATTCTTCCTGTTGTTTTATCTACTGTAACATATCCACCAAATCTTACTTCATGATTAACATCTTTTCTAACAATTTCCCATGGATTTCCTGCTTCAAGCCAATATTCTGGTGTTTCAATTTGATATCCATGTGAAATTTGTTGTTTAAACATACCATATTGATATCTAATACCATATCCCCATGCTGGAAGATTCATTGTAGCAAGTGAATCAAGGAAACATGCTGCAAGTCGTCCAAGTCCTCCTGATCCAAGTGCAGCATCATTTTCGTATTCATACAATTCTTCAAGAGATGAACCAAATTGTGAAACAACATCTCTATATTCATTTTCTAATCCAAGATTACAAATAGCATTCATTAACGAACGACCTATAAGATATTCAATTGAAAGATAATACATTCTTTTTGTTTGAATTTCTCTAAAATATTGATGTGTATCATTCCAGTATTCAGTCATTCTCTCTCTTAAAGAAATAGCAGTTGCTGTAAAGAGTGATTTTGTTTTAAAATCAAATCGTTGACATGCTAATGTATATTCAATATGATTAGCAATTTGTTGTTTAATAGTCTCAACATCTTTAGATAAATATAAAGAACAATAGTCCCACAAATTATTATATTTTTCAGAATCAGATTCATTAGTAAAATGTTCTGCTTCAGCAGCATCAGCAAATTGATTCTTTAACTTGTTTAATGAAATAGATCTTCTAACATGAGAAACTCCTTCACTTGATGAGGATTTTTGCATTGAAATCGAATGAAATTCTCCTAAAAAGTTCCATTCATTAACAGTTCTTAGGGTTGTTAAAAATCCAATCATCTCTTTGTTTCATCTTTTTTCTTCTTTTTCAACGAAGATCTTTTCATTATATTTAAATATGCTTCATCTGTACTATTTTTAGATTTCCAATATTAATTATAAAATATATAAAAATAGTTTCGTTATATTAATTAAATAATATAATTCTAATAGAATTTATAAAAAATAATGAATAAGAACTAGAAATAGATTAAAGCTCAATATTTGATGAATTAGAATCAGTGTCTGATACGTGGCTTTCTTTACTTTCTTCTGTTTGTGTTTTACTTATTGTATTACTTGTAGAAGTATTTGTATTAATAGTATGTTGATTAGAGGTAGAAGAAGTTTTTATTTGACTATCAGTTTTTATAGAAGTAGACTGATTTTTGTTATTAGAGTCTGATTTTGATTTATCAATTATTTTCTTTAAAACAGTTTCAAGAGTGTTTACTATTTCTTTGAAAGTAGGACGATCAGAGGATCTATGTTGCCAAGATTGTTCTATAATACTTTTTAATGGACAATCATCAGAAATATCAAGTCTTTTTCCTGCACCAACAAATCTTAAAATTGATTCTGAATCAGGGAATTTTGTTGGATTATACGGATCTCTTCCTAACCAAATTTCTAACATACAAATAGCAAATGAATATACATCTGATTTTAATGTCATTTGATCTTTTCTACTAATTTCTGGTGCCATATATACAGGTGTACCAATATTTTGAAGGGCAATTTTACTTGATGATTCAATAAATGAACGAGAAGTACCAAAATCAGTAACTTTAGCAGTAATTGGATCAGATGGATTTTTAGAATAAACTAAAACATTATCAGTTTTTAAGTCACGATGAAGAATATCATTTTCATGTAAATACTCCATACCACGTGCTATATCTTGACAGAATCTTATTTTTAAAAAATCGCTCATTGGATTTGTTTTCATAAACTTTCTTAATGAACCTAATGGACAAAACTCTGTTACAAGACATAATGTATCATATGTAACAACACTTCCAATGAAATTTACAATATATGGACAACGAATACGTTCCATCATTTCTGCTTCTTGCATAAAATTAGGTAATAAATCCATCATATCTACTAAATCACTTTTCATTACTTTAACTGCAACATCAACTTTTCTCCATTCAGCACGATAAACAATACCAAATGTACCACCACCAATAGGTGGATGTTGTAAATGAATTTCTTCATAATCTAATTTAGTAGAAAGAGCAGATTCAACTTGAAGACTTAAATAAACATGGAATTTAGATACTTTAGATTTTCCTTTTTTCTTTTTTGAATCAGAGTCATGAGAAGATCCTGATTTACCACTTCCTGATGGTGTATTTTTTTGAGTACTTAATGAAGTATGAGAATTTTTTTGAGAAGAAGATCCATTAGTTGAAGAAGAATGAGATTTATTATCACTTTCACTATTTTGACTTGATTGTGAGTTTTGAGGTATTAAATCAGGATTTTCTTTTTTAATTTCTTTAATAATATTTTGTAATTGACCATAACGTATTGTAATAGGAACTTTTTCATTTAATACAGTAGTACAACGTGCAATAAATGAAATAGTTAATTCAATACTTTCAGATGGATGAACAGTACCAGTGAATGGTTTACACATAATTTCATATTTAGGATAATCACCAGAATGGAATGTAAAATGAAGATTTTCTTTCCAGTTATTCTTTAAACTGATTGTTGTTTCAATTGGCTCATCTATTTCAGGCCTTTTATCACCAAAATCAATATCTGTTGTTGAGAATGAAAAGTAAGGATTTTCTTGTTTTAAATCAATGTATTGAGAATTAGTTTTATCAAATGGAATAATTGTATTTTCAAAAATCACTAATTTTTCATCATCAATTTCTTGTTTAATTTTTTTAGTTAATTTTATATAAAGAAGAATTAGAATAAATAATAATATGAAAAAGAAGATCCAATAAACAATAACTAATGTTCCCCAATATTTTAATTGTCTTACCAATAATGACTGAGGTGAACAATGTGCTTTTTCTTGACTATACCATCCTGGTTGACATTCACATTCAATGCAACCATCTCCTCCATCACATTCTTCTCCTTCATCTAATTGTTTATCACCACAACTAGATTGTAAACAATCAATTCTTGCTTTTGAATATTTCTTTGTCATATTTACACAAACACAATGATCACATCCATATCCTCCATCACATTCTTCATATACATCAATTTTTCCATTTCCACATGTTGGAACAGCACATTTAGTAGAAATTGAACCATTGACTTTAACAGTCATTGGTTGAGTACCATATTTACAATTACAAGCATTTGTACATAAACTGTCTTGATATCCTTCAACTGAATTATCACATTCCTCCTCATTATCTAATTTACCATTACCACATTTTGTGCATACTTCATCAATAAGAGTATAACTATTATAACATTCACACTGTCCAGAATAAGGAGAACATTTACCATTTGATCCACATTCTTGTGGACATGTAATATCAAAACTAACTTTTACATTTGCTTCATATTCTTCAGTTATCCCAACAAATAATAAATAGTCATATTCATGGCTAATTGTGATAGTCATTTTAGCTAATTTTGAATCACTAGCACATCCATCTGTTCTCGTTAAAACACATTCCGTATGAGATGAATCACTACAATCAACATTAGAAATATCTTCATCATAAGAAGTATATCCATAATCATCTGGTTTATATCTAATCAAATTAAATGAAACGTCATAATCTCCTGTTGAATTACATGATGAAATTATAATTGTATGATCGGCACCAGGTATTCTATACCAAAAACCTTTTACTTTATTCTTATTACAAACAGAGTTTGATTGAATAGCATTATCTAAGTTTAAATCAACATAATAATTTCCTTTAACAATGTTTTGCCATTTAATAGTGGAAGCAGTGTAAGAACATACATGTTTTATTTCATTAAAATAAATATTAAATCCTCCCATTGGTTTACTTGCATATTTAGTATGGACAAAAGCAAAAATATTGCTGTTTGCTGTTGCTTCATAATACATTCTTGGTACTCTTACATAGTTACTTGTTCCTCCATTTCTCATAATACATTTCACTCTATAACTAAGATCAGTAGTTGATGGACATTCATTTTGAATGAGAATAGCCATATCACTACCAATTTCATGTTGAATTGTGTCATAATAATTTCTAGTTTCTGCAGAATAAACATTTTCAACCTCTATCATAATCTTTGAAGCTTTCTCAAAGGTTATATTAAACCAATACCCATATGTGTATGGTTTCATCATATCAACAAATCTTGAACATCTTGAAATTGATAATGACTGAAATTGAGCTGGGATATTAGGAATTTTTGCAATGATTTCTTTTTGGTTATTTCCAATTAAAATATCAAATGGAAATGCAACTCCTAGTCCAGCTGTTTGATAACGAGTGAAATTAAGAAAACTAAAACAGGTGTGCATAGAATGACTTGTGTATGGTTGACATATCCCTTCTCCAAACCACATATAACCTTCTTGACATCCTTGGCAATCTTCTGTATACCCTTTTGTTGTATTACATTCATCACATACATCGGGTTCAGTACATCCACCAATACATCCATCTCCAAACATACATGACATGACACATGTCCCATTACCATTTGCCGTGTAACCTTTCTTACATAAACAATCTTTTCCACATCCACTTGTTCCATCACATTCTTCACTAAACCAATCCCAAATACCGTCTCCACACTTTCCTTCATTTTCAAACTCTTCTTGTTTGACTTCTTGGGAATTATTTCCAAAACAAAAATTTATTAGGATAAGTGTAAATACCCATTTCATTTTCTTTATTTTTTAAATAATTATTTTAAGATATCCTTCCTTTCTCCTCAAAAATTCATGAAATTTTCTTATGTAACTTTTTATAAAGAATTGACATCATGTTATTTTAAAAAATTTATTTTTTTCTAAAAAAAAATACTTATCTTTTTATCTTTTATCTGTTTTTTTATAAAAAGAATTAAATTAATTTATAAAGCAATTGATTAACCACTTTATTCTCTTCACAAAATTGACCATTTAAGTTAACTACTAATGAGATATTTATATCCAGTGATAACCAGCTTTTAATTGTTTTTTTTTATTAATGGTTGTTATAGTCTCAATAGGCCTTGCTTAAAATTCTCATCATTGTTATTGAATCAGTCTAACAAATAATTCAATTTTTACATGATGAAAATCGTTAGTTTCATTGTTATTACATTTAGATTTATTTATAATTCACTCTATTTTAATTAAATTACATGAGTACTGATAATAAAATAAGATTATTTTTATAAATTATTATTGTTAGAATACATCATTTACTGATTGAAAATATTTTATCAGACTTTTTCATTCAATTTTACCAGAAATAATTAACATAAATATATTGATATTAGGTTATATCAAAAGTTGTTCTATTAACTTAGCATATAATGCTGGTGTATTATTTTTATTAGTTATGATTTTGTTCCTTCATAATTTAGTTTCGAGTAATTCAAATGAAAGACATGTAAGGTCATGTCTGTTAAAAGTTGGAATGGTTTTCACAATTCATATTTTGTTCTATGATATGAATTAATAAAACAGACCATTATTATTAATGAATATTATAAATGTTTGAACAAGGATTTAGTTTACTTTAGTTTGTTTTAATATACATTCCTATAAACATTAATTATTTTAAAATTATTTTTAATTATTTTTAATTTGGTATTTCATAAGTTATTATATTAATTCAAAGAAGTATATGAACTTAATTTTATTATTTAATTTAGTAACTTTGTATATAACTATTTATTGATTTTATTGTAATAAATATAACTTCTAATTTAAAATGGTTATTGTTTTGTATATTGAAATTCATTGATTAATAGTTTTTGTATAATATAAATGAAACTTTTTTTTGTAACACTTGATGCTATAATTTTGTTATATCATAACAACAGTAATACTTTTTAAATACCTTCTTCATAATTCTTTGTTCTGTATCAAACAATAATAATTAATAAATTAATACTCAATTTAATTTGAGCTTTTTTTCTTTTTTTACTCTAACACTTATAGCCCATTCTCTTTTGTACTTGTTGGTGAAGCCTATTTGATATTTCTATACAAATATATTTCTATCAGTATTTAATTAGATTTTCCAAATTTATAACTGTTAGATATTTTACCATTATTTCTAATGATTTATAAACCCTTATTCTTGTAGCACATACTATTATACATTAGCTGAGTTATTAATTTGTTAATTTCTCTTGTTCTGAATTAATTGATATATCTTTGTTATTTATGAGTAAATAATTTATACTTTTATCAAATGAAGTTATAATTCAATATTAATTTATATTTATTTTCATATTATTTACAGGATATAATCTTTTATGAATTATTTAATTGTTTAATCATAAGATTTTTTATCATTTTTGACATCGAAGATATCTATTTCATTATTATAAAAATATTTTAATATTACTCTCTTTAGTATTCTTCAGTTAAACATCACTATTTATACATATTATATATTTAATTTAACTAAAAATTATTACTGATGAAATAGTTGAAAACAGAAACAAGAGAATTTGCAAAAAAAGAAAATATACTATTATTTTGGAAAGAGTTATATGAGAATGAAGAAAGAATAAAAAGAAATATTAAAATGAGATATAAAATAAAAGGATAATATCATACTAAATAGATGGATGAATAATAAATCATCAAATTTTGCAAATATATAAAAGAATGAATATAGTAAAATGATATTAATTTGAAAATATTGAAAATAGTAAATTGAATGAGTATATTTAAATATTAGTAATATAACAAATTAATTAATAACTGGATCATGAAATAATATAACCAATAATGAAAATACAAAACAGTGTAAATATTATACAAATAATATAACATCTATATCATATACATTATTAGTATACAGAATGATGAAAGAATAGATAAATTGGTAATACAAATATGTAAATGAAGAATTATTTAAATCTATAACCATGAAATGACATAAAGAAATAGAACGTATAAATATACATTTTCACTTTATTGTATAACATCAATAAATTGTTTAATTACATTTACTTGTGTATAGACTTTTATTAAACTGAGACAGTATTAAATTTATAATATAAAATAGTAGATATTCAAGATGATAAACAAATGAAAACAATAATAATGATATAATTAAAGTATAAAATATAAATTTAAAACCAGACTATTTAATTAAATACAAAACATATAAATTAAAAATATAAAGATGAGATATATAGAAATTATTTTGTTAATAATAAGTAATATATGATTTATTCATAAATTGCCAATAAAAACAAACGAAATGGGAATAATAATTAACGCCATGACAATACAAAGAAAACTACAAAACAAACAAATGAAAGAAAGCATGTATTGATTATATACTGATTGGATTTGAAAGGAAGTAAACTCATAACCAAAACATTAATATAATATTCCGGTAGTACAGAGAATGATAAAGAAACTGACAATTTTAATACAACACCTTCTCAAAACGATGAAAAGTTGAATAAACAAGTAAATGTCACGAATCTAAATTTATCATCCATTTATTCAATACTCTTTTTTTATTAATTTAATGTATTTTTATTATTTCGGTTTACAATTTAAATGAGTTTTATATCATTTTTAAATTGCTATTCTTTTTACAATTTTTTTAAAGAGAAATATTTATTTTAGAGTAATTAGCAAATACGTTCATATTTGGCAAAACCCTATTGCCAATACCCATAATTTATTTATCTCTGTTAATTTCTATATACTATTAAAAATTTCATCAAATTGATGACACATTTTTTAATTATTCTTCTTATTAATTTTTATATTTTCATGTTGTTCTTTTAACAAAATATCTATCTAATATGATACTATGAAACAACTTTTAACATTATCAGAAATTCATATCAAGTTTGTTTTTATTATGACAACTTTATTCTCATTTTGGATTTATGTTTTTATTATCAATTATGACTAAATTCTAATATCCTTTGTTATTTGAGTCATTTAATACAATATATTAATACAATATATATTTGTTTATAAATACAAGAGCCGATAATGCAAATAAGAATAGAGGTAAAAATACTATTAATTCTTTTCATTTTGATAAATTATTTTTTTGATAATTATTATTTCATCATTTATTTATTATTTTTGTTATTTACTTTCTAAAGGTTAAGTTACATTATAAACAATCTACAAAACTTTAATGTTGGTTTTGATATATTATAATACCTCTAATTTTTATCGACATTGAAATTAACGACAATAATCTAATGCTGACCATTAAATGAAATTTTATTTTGTTTTATTTTTTTACCTTTAATAGACAGTTTTAATAACATTTACTGATAAAATTATTCTACATACTTTGTAGTACTTTCTTCATTTATTACGAGTATAGTTTTCATTTAAACATTTCATGTTATACTCATAATTTATTTGTATAACTTCTTTATCTTTTATCTAAGTTTCAGTTGTTTTAATTGGTTGACATTACTTTGTCTTTCAATTAGTCTTTTTGAATGTTTCTAATACACTATCTTTCTTTGCACACTTTAATTAAAACCATCTATAAGACATCAAAATAATATAGTGTTCAACCATTTTCATTTTTTCTAACTTCTTATAATTCTTTTATCTTTATTCTTTCTTGTGCTTTTTGTTTTCATGACTTATATCTTCTTAGAATTCTTTATTATTGGTGGCCTTTTACTGTTGTGATTGAATCTGCAATATCCCATGGAAAATTGTATATTTCTTTAGGAAATGGATCTTTCCATGTAATGATTTGTAACATTGTTATTGAATATGAATATATATCTGATTCCATTTTGTAATGTTCTCGATTTAATATTTCTGGTGCCATGTATTTTGGTGATCCTATCCCTTTTGTGAATGTCATATTTGTCATCATCATATTAATGTTTCTTGAACTTCCAAAATCTGTTAATTTACAATTAATTCCAATATTATCATCAATTGATACAACATGAAAATTATCTGGTTTAATATCTCGATGTAGTATTCCATTTGAATGAAGATATGAAATTCCTTTTGCTCCATCTATCATGAATTTAATTCTTATTTTATTTGGTATTTCCGTGTTTGTTCTTTTATTAATTAAATCTTGTATTGATCCATATTTTGCATATTCTGTTACCATACATATTTTATTAGGAATAAATACTGCTCCATAAAAATGAATGATATATTCACTTCTAAATTTATCTAACATCATTACTTCTTTCTCAAATTCTTTCATTTTATCTTCGTCTTTATCAATTTGTTTCATTTTCTTAATTGCTACTTGATTCCCTCTAAATTCTCCGATATATACAATTCCAAATGATCCTTCTCCTATTTTATGTTCTTCTTTTATTTCATCCGGATCAAGTCGTGTTGATATTTGTGTTTCTCCTTTAATTGAAATACTTTTAATTATTTCTTCTTGTGTTTTATTAAGTGTTTTACTAATTATCATTATTTGTTCTTTAATTTTAGTAGTACATTTGATTGTAATGAATATTTCAAATTCGCATGCATATCCTCCTTCAATTGTAATAATATTTGGGTTTGTTCTAATTGAATATTTTTCATTTTCTTCTTTACTACTTATTTGTATTTTCTTTTTTTCTTTCTTTTCATTTCCAATACATATTAATTCTCTGATTTCTTTATTTACTTCAATTTCTTCTCCTTCTCCTATTTCTATTTCTTTTTATTTGTTATTATTCCATCTCAAGTGATATAAATTTGATATTTGATTGTGAATTTAAATATTTGTGTT